TAATGTTTTTTCATTACACTAGAATTCACACTGCACCTTGCAAGTTGCAACTAAACGACATTTAGTAAACTGTCAAGAATACACAACTGGGACCTCCTTACTAAATGGAAAACCTATAATCGCATTTTCGGTGAAATTTGTTGGGAAGGTATTTATCTACTTATAATTCGATTACTGTAAAAAATTCTTGGAATTAAAATAAAACAAAATTGGCAAATAGGTACTTATTGAAAATAATCTTAAGATACGGCTATGTAATCTTTAATACACAGGGCTTTTGGCCTGTCCAAACCTTTTTCTATTGTTCTGTACAGCTTATGTTTATAAAGGACCAATAAAAGACCCAAAACTTGTAATAGCTCAGGTACATTTATTACAATTTTAGGAAATATTTAGATTATTCTGTAAAAATATTTAAAATGACCGTAAGTTTTGCATTAGAAATGCTGTTTTATTACTTTCTCATACATAAAAATAGACTATAAAATATATTACTGGGAAAATTTTAACCCATTTTAATTTTAAATTACAAAGTTTTTGTTAAGATAATTTTAGTTACAAAAATATACAGAGCAGCCAATCCTAGAAGATAATAAATTCTAAAAACTTCAATCGTTTAGTTAAAAACGACATTTAAAGAAAAAATAATTGATTAAAGATTATCATTTTCAAAATCTCATAGCAAACTAAATGCTTTATTTTGATCCTTTTTCTAATATCTCAGCATCGCTTTGATACCCATTTTCTCAGATGAAATTGACCATCATGTAAAATATTTATACTTCCTGTCATAATTAAGGGCTGATTCATTATTATTTGCTCCATTGTAACTGAAATACATAATTATTATATTCGATACTGCTGATTATTTCTTCAACAGTTAATTTTACGAGTTCTTATTTTTGTTTTATTGAGGATGTGTCCAAAATACCCAAGTTTGCGTCCTTAACTCCTTTGTTCGGTCTTTCAAGAACCATTAATACACTAAATACAATTTTTTTTAAGCCATTCAGTTTATAATTTCAAATTACTCAACAATCTAACCGCTTACAATTTGAGTTTTTAAAAAAACTGACATTCCGAACTTCGGTAGGTACATTCTTCTCCCAGTAATAAACAACAAGCAAACAAGGGAAAGATCACAGAAGCGCTTGCATATATATTCTCAAAAGCAAAAACAAAAAATTAACATATTTTTTATAGATTTATCGGGAAAAATTCTTCAGTCACAGCCGCGTCTCAAGGTTTTCTTTGTTCCAGCATCAACAGTTCCGTTGCCAATTTTTTTTTTAATGTTTTTGGTAAATTTTTATTTAACGCGATATTCGATCCGACATGATTTGTTTAATAGCTCGAATGTAATTAGCAAATAGTCCGTTTTTACGCGGCGCTTTTATCGTTGATGATATAATTGGTTTTTGGGTTTATAATTTATTGCAGTTGCGGAGCATGATCTACATTTCTTTGTCTGGGTTTCAATGACAAATAAAATTAGTTTTCGACGGTAATGATTTAAACGTTTTCGGGACTAACTCGTTATATTCAAATGAGAATGGTCTGGAAACTTCCCAGAAGGCGAAAACGCAACCATAATGAAAATATAGGCCTTGTCATCGATTATAGCACGAACGTCATTGCTAGGTTTATTCCAACAGCAGTATAAAACTGTTCTGGATGTGTGTGCGCATGTGTGGTATAATTAAACTGTTCCTACAAAAATTAAGAACCATTTAAAATTTATATTCGTTGTTTTTCAAACAGGAGGCAGCAACTCTTATAGATAACGTACGGCAATTTTTAGTACCAGAAAAATTTGATAGAGGTCACTCATATCGATATAAAAGTTGCTGTTGGAAATGCCCAAGTTGCGACTCAAACGCTTATCACTTCAGTTGGAGCAGTAAGGATAACAACCCTAGAGGTAAGTCACTTTATGATTATATAATTACCAGAAATCTTTGTATTTTAAATAAAGGTACTACACCAACATTTTTAAATTCTCGCAGTCAAACACTAATAGATATCACTTTATCCACAACTGGTATCTATAAATCAATTCTAAACTGGCAAGTGTCTGATAACATTTCGATGTCAGACCACCGCTGGTTAACATTCAAAATAAACTTGATGTTGCCGACCTCCACGCTATCTCGGAACCCTAGGAAGACGGACAGGGCAATCTATGCCCAACTACTCCAAGAGGCTCTGAGAGAGATGGAGGCCGAAACACCAAACAATAACAATGCTTTGGAGAAGTACTCGAACACTATCTAAAGCACAATAAACAAGGCCTATAAGAAATGCTGTCCCCTGAGGCTGGTCCAACACGATCAGACGACTACTGCATGGTGGTGTCACGAGTTGGTTCACCTCAGGAAAATGGCTAGGAAATCCTTTAATAAGGCAAGAACCACAAAACTCAAAGACGACTAGGATACTTATAAATCTCACCTCAGAGAATACAAAAAAATCATCAGACAAAAACAGAGAGATGCATGGAGTTCCTACTGCCAAAAAATCGAAGATTTCCCGGAGATAGCGAGGCTCCAAAGAGCTCTCTCAAAAGATCCACACCGAAGCATTGGTGCGCTGATCAAAGAGGATGGCACGAAAACTGCCAACCTCGAAGATAGCATCAAACTTCTGCTGTCAACACACTTACCTGATTCGGTCATCACAGACGTGGCCGACTGGGCAGAGGAAGAATACAAACATTGCATGACAATGTATATTCCTTTGGATTTAAATTCTTTCTTTCTTTTTTCCACCTTCATCGTCTCTGTAGGTATCTTCATAATTTTCTATCGCATCGATCCACTTATTATTATTATTGATATTTCCATTTTTTACTTTGATTTTGCTATAAATCTAATTAAATTTTTAAAATTTTCTACGAATATTGTAAAATGTTTAAAAAAAGATATTGGAATAAATTAAGTACGTCTCTGAACAAACGCCTTTTTAAAATAGCGAGCGCGAGGCAAAACTTTATACGGTGTAGAAACTGAATGTAGATGGTGTAGATAAAGTGACTAAACTACATAAAAAGGTGAAATGTGACATTATGTGACATCTAGGGACATTCATCATATCTTAAGCTTATTGCAACTTCATTGTTGAAAGGAAATATGCTCTTGCTTTGTCAAAAATCAACCAAATACGAAATAAATATAAAAAATGCAATTTATTTTGTGATAAAGGAAGGGAAACGAATGATTATTCGATTTTAAAACTTAAACCACTATGATGTATAACTACTCTTCAAGCATTTATTGACCACAAAAGATTTTTTAGAGAACTATAAGGAATACATTCAAGACTAATTCATCTAAAATATTTCGGATACTGAACTATTTCCTCAGAACTCAGAGTTATTGAATTCATACATTTCAGATGCTATAGAGTGAAACAAGATGAAGAATACTCTGAAATTAAAGCATAAGTATCACAGGGAAGCGTCCTAGGACCCACTTTCTAACTGTTTTACACTTGTGACATACCCCTACTAGAACAATACACAATAGCTACATTTGCAGATGATACTGCCATCCTAGCGATAAGCAAATATCATGAAGAGACTGCAAATGAACTACAAACATCAGTTAATCAAATAAATAACTGGAACAAAAGATGGAGTATTAAAATAAACTAAACTAAATTTGGGAATATCATTAATGAATTCAAAATTTAGTTCTTATTTATCGCCATTTACAGTTTTTACGCACTACCTACGTCACTGGCGTTTCCTTGGGCAAGTTTTTAAACGCGTGCTTGTCCTAGACCGTGCCAAAACCCTTTTCCACATTGAACTGTCCCTTGCAGATGACTCTAATGTCAGTTTAATATTAACCGTCCAGGTGGAGGTCGAGATATATCATTTGTTCAACAATAAAAAAAAAATTAATATGACGTTTGGTATGGGCTCGCTTTCGTAATTAGTTTGCCTGGTTGGTCTATCTATCTGATGGCACGGTATAATTTTTATTTTTCAGCTGATACTATTCGGAGAAGAGTGGCCGTTAAAAAAATTGCCACGGTTCGGCTTTTGTTTTCGTACCAACTGTTCCTAGTTAATTGCCCTTGCTGCGAATTTTTAAGTTTCGATTCATATGGCTTGAGAATTATACGATTATCTACACAATGAAAAATATTCAGTATAATAATTCCACTCATACCTCATACTCACACACCTCTCTTCAAAGGTGACATAAGTAAAAAATGCAAATAGTGAAAAATGAGATTGAAAATTGTATGATTTTTTAATTTTGTGTGTAGTGAAATATCATTCCGATGTAGGAAATCCCTACACCGAAAGTAGCAAAACCGGACGACACAATATTATTTTATTGCCAGTAAAAAACTGCAAACATCAATAAATACAATTAACAGTAATTTGACTAAGTAGTAACGAATTAAATTGAATGAAGCTAAGTGTGCCCATTCTAATTTGATAAATAAATAAGACTGATATGTCATTGTTAGCATAAACAATATACAACATTGAACTATAAGCTGCATCCGAGAAACTGTCAATATAAAATAAAGTACTTTGAACAAACAGATTCTGAAGACCGTGTTGACATATGACATCCAGTTGTGGGACTGTGTTAAAAAGAACAACATAGAAGTAATCCAAGGATTTCAAAATAACACATTTTATGCCTCCTAGTATTACAGAAATGCTAACCTATACAGGGACTTGGAAATGGACACCGTTGACCAGACCATTGAATAGAGACTTCTTCAATCTTCATCAAGCTCATGTCGAGGTCATACAGAGCTCTCGTCAATATAAAGCAGAAGATTCAAAATGAGTATAATGCTTGTTTGTGTACACAATGGTATTAGTGTAATAAGTTATTAGAAAATTTAAGAGATTATATCATTATTCATTGGATTAAATTGTAATGTTAGTAAATGTCACTGTGAGTGCTTATCAGAAAAACCTTTAGTACAGGTTGAATCTAGTTACATTACATTTTATTAATATTATGTGTTCGAGAACAGATTTCAGTGAGCTAAAAAATTATTAATTTGATGTATTCTTGCTATTTAACACTTTGCCCACCTAAAAGGTTCATGCCTTGAGACATGAAGAGATAATCACATGTAGCCTCGATGAAGAAATACTATCGCTCGTTAAAAAAAATATCTGTACCATTTTTGCTGCTTGTGTGTTAAATATGTTATTTAACCATACAATTTATCAGGTTTAAATTGTTTAAATTAAGAAACAGCCCTTTTGACAGCATAATATCCATTCTGTCACATGGTATGGTACTGATTTGGTGTTTCATTTCATTAATATTTTAGTTGAAAATGACCGTATAAATAATACAAAATACATAATTGATTTAAATTTCGGACGTACAAGAATATTGAAAATTACCCATAATTTGTTACAGGAAATACCGCAGGTGATATGGAAGCATATTAGAATACTATCATTAGCCATGAGAATGTCTCAGATGATAGATGATTTTTCGTTTGAATTATGCATAATGTCCACTTAGATTTAGTTTAAATTCAGGATTTATCGATGAGCTTCGTCATTTGGATTTTGGACGACAGCAAGAAACAACAATAAAAAGTAAGTATTCAGTAACATTATAATTCCTTTCAATATTATTTTACATGCATCATTTTCTAACCATTATCATCTTGGTGTAAGTTTAACTTCAGTTTCTTTAGATCGTTCTAAATATTCAATGCAGCATCCTAGTCTTAATCTTCGATCATACAAACAGTAGATAATTAAACTTTTTATGAGTGGTGAATTCTAACGTTTTATATTTAATTTATTCTTAAATCCACTTTGGTAAATTAAATCTTAACAACCAAATTGAAAACCATTTATATCACTTGAAACGTATATCTGTTAAGATCATTTTAAAAGTGAAGACTTTATTTTTTTTATTATATTAGCTTTAGTACAAGGCATGCATTATTTATCTAGTGTATATATGATACACTTCTAATGCTATCCACAACTTAAAGAATAATGACCAAGAAATTACATTTTATTTCCATTTACCATTAAATGTAGGAGATCCAATGAAATCTTTTTTAGCGTGCCCTTTCTACATCTTAATCCTCAATGAGTAGATCTATATATAAACTGCAATTGTAAATTTTTCTCACTGACTAACCTTAAGAAAACTGAAAGAGATAAAAGTTTCAATGGTTTCTACTGTTCATAACTTTATATCTACTTAAAGATCTGTAATCTACTTCTAAAACCAACTAAAAAAACAAAACAAAGGGTGTCTAGGACAGCTATTACTTGGATTTGGTCTTTATAATTCAACAGGAAACCTTCTGCATCTCCTAATGGGTGACATATTCCTAAATCTGATATATCTTCTTTATTGCATAGATATAAAAAATGGTTCTATCCATGGAAAGATGGATTGGGAAAGTAGCTGTAGTAACTGGTGCTAGTTCCGGAATAGGTGCTGGAATTGTTGTAAAATTGGTTGAGGAAGGTTTAGTGGTAAGGTTGTTCAAATTGTTACTCATCTTATTAATATGTAAAGTTTATAATACTTGCTACTCGATCTAATATTATTGAGATACCAATACCATATACTTGTTTCGGTCTATATTGACCATCATCAAGGCTAAAAAATAGTTATGTAGATTGATTTCTAACCAGTCTCTTGTACATTTCGAAGATTACTTACTGATTTATCTTTTTTTCTATTTTGTTATTACTTTGTCTAATTTTCAAGGTTGTGGGCCTGGCAAGAAGAATAGACCGAATGGAAATAGCAGCACGTGAACTATCAGGTAAAAGGGGCACTTTCCACCCAATCAAATGTGATCTAAGTGTTGAGAATGAAATAATAGAAGCGTTTGAAAATATTAGGAAAAGTTTAGGCCCTGTACATGTGCTGATTAACAATGCTGGATTTGCTAAGATGGCTCCGTTGGTAAATGGAGAAACAGAAAAATGGAAAGCGGTGTTAGATGTTAATCTTTTAGGTATTATATATTACTATATTTGTAAATATACTGATAAATAGTGTATTTTTAATATACGTTTTTTTCAGCCTTATGTATTTGTACAAGAGAAGCAATAAAGGATATGAATGAGCACAATATTGATGGTCATATAATTCATGTGAACAGTGTCCTTGGACATCGAATTCCTGATAGTTTTCCTTTAAATGTGTACCCAGCTACCAAACGCGCCGTTGGGGCATTAGCTGAGGTTCTGAGATTCGAATTAAACGATTTGAAGTCCAACATTAAAATAACGGTAATTTTATTGTTATTCAATATCAATATTTCCAATTTGCAAATTTCATTATATTGAAAAATGTACCCAAGTGAGGTGACAGATGTATCGTCAAGTTCTTTTTATACAAGTTTCTTCATTTTTATATATTTTTTTTAGAGTTTGAGTCCGGGATTGGTTTCCACAGAAATTTTTGATGCTTATGGAGTGAGTTTCGAGAATGTCAGTGAAGCCTTAGCAGGAGGAAACCTGCCTTGTTTAAATGTCGAAGCCATTGTAGATGGCGTTGTTTATATCCTGTCAACGCCTCCTAAAGTCATGGTAAGAACACGCTCATGATAAGTTTAAAGTCTTCAAAAACCTCTAAAGATTGGAAGGTTAAAAAAGAATGTTGCAAATGATTTAAATGTTTTTTTTAGTTTGACCTATATACTTTGCTTCAAAATCAAAACACAATAATTTTTGGTAAATGAATATTTTGAAGACATTGCCCAGCAAACATTTTGGTGTAATTTGACGTCGATACTACCTAAATTATATATAATAAATTTGGTCGCAAAATTAGATTTAACCATAATTAAGTAAAATTTACGATGGCTCGACGTGGATTCGACATAAGTGGAGAATAAGACGACGTCGAAATTTGGTTTTATTTACCAAAATAGGTAGAATTACATCTAAATCCACATTGTAGTAGCCCAGTACGTTTGGTTAGTAATACCTCTATAGGGAAATTTGACGTCAGTATAACGTTAATTCGACGTTAATTTAACTAAGTTTAGGTAGAAACTACCAAAATATTTGCAGATGACGTATGCCTCCAAGTGTACGAAAAGAAATTTTATACTTATTTGGTATTTTTATCTATATATAAGTAGAAATATTGTAAGAAGTCACCAACACAACTAAAACATATACCTAATTCACATGAAAGATTGAAAATAAATAAATGTCAGTGACAAAAATATATGTAATGTAATTGCGGTGAATTTACAGTTCACGCTTATTGAAATTAATGCGAAGAAAATTTTGTCGTGCATGTTAACAGTGCTACTTAGAAAAATAACAATGCCCTTTCAAAATACTCTCTAATTAAAAAAATATAAGAAAAATATATGATCGTGTAAAAAAATAATAATATTATTATGAGCTAAAACTATGTTACGTTTGTTGTGTATCACTTTAAAAAATCAATAATGTTTCGTTTTTCGGTATTTTCATTCGTATGTTCTAGTTATGGTCATTTTAAAAATTTAAAATTTGGAATCGTACTTCAATTACGTTAAGAAAATATGGCGTATTGTGCGAATTCGACCTAAAAGTTATTATGACTAAGGAAATCTACGTATTTTACAAATACCTTTTTATTAAGTTGAATTAACTTCAATTTCACGACATATTAGTTAACTTTACCTATTTAAAGAAATAATAACTTATAGCTTTTATAAAAAATTTACCTATAGGTAGATAGATATAACATATTTAGGTCACGTTGTTCTGCACTTGAGATTTTAGACGTTTCACTTTACGATAAAAATCGGAAGTATAACGATATGATTTATTATTTTTCGAACTCATTTTATTAATTATTTTTCGCACTCATTTAAAGCTCTATCTACACCACACGTAAATTAAGATTACGACTGTAATGGTTTTTTAAAATGGCCGAAATTCTTAAGAATAATGACGAAGACAGTAACTGAACAACCTAATTGTTAAAATAACCTAAATAATATAAATTTTACAAATAGGTCATGTATGACTCTTTTTAAATTGGTGGTTTTTAGTCGAATTTACTTTGTGGTAGATTTTTCAGGTAATTGTTACAACAAAGTTAATAAATATTTCTTCAAGATGACCTAATATTACTTTGAAGGAGAGTAAATAAAAGCGGCCAAATAGGTTACTATGGAGGCATAAAATTACGTAGAATTTTTAACCAAAGCTACCTAGTTGGATATTCTACTATAAAGACGATTTTTAGTTGCCAAACAGGTAGGTATTACCTAAATATGGCACCTAATTTTACTACAAAGGAAATTTAACTTTGAAGTAATTGTTGGTTATTTTTTTTTAGTAGTTTTTCCCTTGCTGATATGGTTAAAGTTACTTTTAAGCAGATTTGTGTAAAAGGTAGATTTCTTGGTATAATTTACGTAAATTTAAATATAAATTAAAACCGTTTGGTAAATTTACATTAGAGGTATATTTTTCTAGTCAATTTTACGTAATAATTACCTTAATAAGTAAATTCGTCTTTAACAAAGTCGAGTTATAACTAATGTTATAGAAAATGTTTGCTGGGAGGGATAAGTGATTTTAATGTTTAATTTTTTAATTTGCAATAACCTGCTTTAACTTTCTTTCTGTCTTTATCTAATTTGGTTCAAAATGAAACCCATAAATTTTAATAAACATTTTTTGAGATACCTTTATATTTTTGTTTTAATTTTTAGGTATCTGAATTGACGATCAGGCATACCTTAGAACCTTTATAAAAATTTAGACTTTTATAACTCAAAATGTAGTACCTTGCAAAATTAGCTGCGTATCATCACTTAGAATAGAGAAGAGAATACACAGGTCGTCCTATTTAGAAGCAACATATTATCTTGCAAGAGAATTGTAATAAATAGAGAAAGAGAAGAGACATTTAAATTCTGAAAAGAAGTTCTATTTTTATTAGTTAAGTCAATTAGACAAATTTTGCATGCTATTAAAACTATAAAATTATACAGGATAGGGGTAGTTATTTTTGAAATTTTATAGTTACTAAGATAATTCTTGTAATAAAAATAGTACAATTAAATAAAATGTTTCAAATTAAACACCATGGATAAAATGTTCATCAAGCAAAGAATCTTTAAGGCGAACGATTTCTGCCATACGTTTGTTCTGTTCAACACTGGCAATTTAGATTTGTTATTGGTAAATATTCAAGAGTAGTAATTCTTTATTTTCCCAACTAGTACTAAAATAATGTCCAGCATTAAACTCGTTTAAAAAAAAGAAAATGTGTACAGCACTGGAAATTCCTCGAACTTCTAAAGTAACTCAATACGAAACGATACAAACAACTTAATACGGATTTAGTTGCAATAAAAAAACATATATAAAGTACAACAATAAAATGAAAAGTTCTTGAAATATAAAGGCACATATATACAGACGAAGAGATGCCGTAAAATAATATGAAGGAATCTTTTTATTGATGTATATGGTCAAAACGCAATAGCGAACAGCTTTTTTATATCTTTATGAAATCGTATTTTTTCTTTTAAGATACGGAACGTTTCGGGTAAGGCGGGCTCGGACTGACAAATAAAGTAATATTTCAGATTCAATGGGTTTTTATTAAAATTTCTATCTATTGGGATATTTAGAACACAAAAATGACTAAATTTGTAATATAAATACACCTTAGGTAGTCTATTTTTTTAAATAATCCATACAGTTTGTTGCTTTATAAATACATATAAGTGAATTGAATTTTAAGATGGTATGCATTGAATGTTGTGAGTGATTGAGTGATTTCAGTCTTTGGTGATAGTAAAATGTTGATACAAAGTTTAGTTTTTTTAATTATATGTTGTTGTAAGGTATTCCTATTTCTTTCTTTCTGCAGTACAAAGAAACCACCCTCTATAAAAAACAAATTATTTATTAACCATTTACTGACCTCTATCGCCGTCACTGCGTCTATATTATTATCGAGACTTTTATCGTTTTTTCAGTTGGGGATAAATTCTTTTACGAGCAAATGTTTTCTTCCAGCAGATTAATTGTGAAAAGATATTTCATTAGGCCGACTTGACAGTGAGTCAGGTAAGATTAAAAAAAAAGGAGGTGAGGTATAGCATCCATACGCGGAGGGTATCCACAGAAGTCAGGGGTGGTTTTGGCGTATTTTAAATCGAATACAATTTTTTAAAAAAGAGGTAAGGAAGGATAATGCTACTAATTCTAAAATAACGACGAGGCACGCTGGCCTGAAAAAATGCTCTCTAAATAATATATCGACATTTTTCAATCATATCCAATGGCAAGAATGTGTAGAGTGAAGCAAGAGGAGACATACTCCGCAATGAAAGATATTAAAGCAGGTGTCCCACAAGGCAGTGTGCTAGGACCTCAGAAAACCTCCAGGAAACCTGCAACAGAATCAATCGATGGACAAAAAAGTGTAAAATAAAAATAAATCAAACTAAATCAGTGCATGTTGGTTTTACTCTTCAACCAAATGAACAAAAACAAATAAGAATAAACAATTCAAAAAAATGTTTTAGCTTCTAGGAAGAAAATCCAAGTAGTCAGTGTACAAGAAAATGCTGATTTATAAACAAATTCTAAAACCAATCTGGATTTATGGCATACACCTATGAGGATGTGCCAGCAAAGGTAATATCAACAAGATACAAGTTTTCCAATATAAAGTATATGGTATCCAACAAAAAGTTACTAAACCTACGCGAGTAACTATTGGTAGTAAGTCTATAGGCGATTTTGTATTAACTAATGATGATAATTGTGATGCTGAATTTCATGATACTCCGAAAATCAGTGATCATTCTGTGATTTCTGTAATTTTTTCCAATACAAGCAATACTTCAAAAAAAGTTAAAAAAAAAATAGGAATTATAATGAAACTAACATTTTTAATATACAAAATGATCTGATTATGTGCAACTGGAATCTTAATACTATTGATGTTGAAGTAATGTATCATGAGTTATATTCAAATTGTGAAAGAATTATTAATAAGGTTGCTACTATTCAGACATGTAAGTATAACCCTAATGTACCATGGTTTGATAATAAGGTTACAATAAAATTAAAATTCGAGATAAGTCATGTGCAGAACATCAAAAGCTGAATGTGGAATAAATTTAAAAAATGTAGAAATACTGAAATCAAAAAAATCTACTTATTATTTTAATAAAATTGATTGTTTCAAAGAAAATCCTAAAGAGATGTGAAAAACTTAAAACTAGTAAATATTAAATTAAATGATGTGACTGATCATATTCAATTTAGTCAACTAAATTTAGCGAATATTTTGTTGAAAGTATTATGGATATTATTGAAAGTATTGATGCAACTGTTCCCTAGCATAATCTAAACAATAATTTATACTTACCATTTCACAACTTTAATTTACTAGCTTTACATGGCTTATATAAAATTAGATAATAAATATTCTGGATTTAATATTCTTAAGTTCTAAAGGAAGTGTATGTAACAATTGGGCACATCATTTTAAACTTAATTAATACCTCACTTTATACTGGCAAAGTTCCATCTTAACTAAAAATTAGTACTATTGTTCTAATTCAAAAAGTTAATAATACAATAAAATCGGAAGAATTTAGGCCTGTAAATAATCTCCCGTCAATTGAAAAGGTAATAGAGCTGGTTGTGTATATGAACAACTACCTGAACATGTTAATAATAATAATTCTATTTTAATAACTAAACAGTCTGGGTTCAGAAAAAAGTATTCCTGCATTACAGTTAATGGTGAGTAAATTTAAAAATGATATGGATGAGAATAAATATGTAGTAGCTGTTTTTTTAGACCTGAAATGTGCATTTGAGACCAATGATAGGGGTATTTTAATTAAGAAAATTCAACAATATGGTGTAGGTGGAAAAGTATACCAGAGGCTGAATGATTATCTGCAAGGTAGTAGACAAAAAGTACATTTTAACAATCAGATATCACCCGAGATTATAGTCTATTTTTATGTATGAGAGAGTAATAAAACAGCATTTCTAATCCAAAACTTAGTACGGTCATTTTAAATATTTTTACAGAATAATCTAAATATTTCCTAAAATTGTAATAAATTTACCTGAGCTATTACAAATTTTGGGTCTTTTATTGGTCCTTTATAAACATAAGCTGTACAGAACAATAGAAAAAGGTTTGGACAGGCCAAAAGTCCTGTGTATTAAAGATTACATAGCCGTATCTTAAGATTATTTTCAATAAGTACCTATTTGCCAATTTTGTTTTATTTTATTTCCAAGAATTTCTTACAGTAATCGAATTATATGTAGATAAATACCTTCCCAACAAATTTCACCGAAAATGCGATTATAGGTTTTCCATTTAGTAAGGAGGTCCAAGTTGTGTATTTTTGACAGTTTACTAAATGTCGTTTAGTTGCAACTTGCAAGGTGCAGTGTGAATTCTAGTGTGATCATGGAAAATTTGGAAGGGCCGCGTAAACGACAAAAAATCGGTCCTTTAACAGTTAATGAAAAAACATTAATATTTAATTGGTTTAAATCATTTACAGACAAACATTTATGTAAAAGTGTTGATGACACAGTGGAATTAGTAGTACGCTTGGTGTTGTGAAATCTACGATTTACAGAATTGTTAAAGAAGAGAAATGTGGCGAGTTTCAAACAGCACGTAAAGCTCCAGGAAAACCAAAATTTCATTTAGAAAATCTTTTGAAAGAAAGACTTCGAAGGAAAGTGCATGCGTTCTTCTTTAGAAAAGAATTTCCGACAGTAGACAAAATTCTTGCCACGGTTCGAGATTACCCTGAAATGAGTCGAAGCACACTATGGAAACTTTTAAAATAAATAGATTTTCTATGAAAAAAGCATTCCAGAAAGTCTATTTTAATAGAAAGAAGCGATATTGTAGTCTGGAGAAGAAATTACCTAAGGACTATAAAAGAAATGAGAAACCAAAGAAGAAATATATTTTATTTAGATGAAACATGGATCAACGAGGGACACAAACCAAATAAATTTTGGCAAGATGAAACTGTTACAAGTCGAAGACAGGCATTTTTAAATAATGTATCTACTGGTTTAAATCCACCATCAGGAAAGGGGCGCAGACTAATAATAGTACACATCGGTAGTTCAAACGGTTTTGTTAAAGGTGGTTTATTGACTTTTGAATCTACTCGTACCGGTGACTACCATGAGGACATGAATGCTGATGTCTTTAAAGAGTGGTTCGAACAAATTATAGATCTTCTTCCTCAGAACTGTATAATAGTAATGGATAATGCAAGTTATCACTCGAGACTTATAGAAAAAATGCCCACAACCAAGTGGTTAAAAAAAGATTTACAGAATTGGCTAAATTCAAAGAATATTAAGTTCCATCCCGGTTCTGTGAGAAAAGAACTGTATCATTTGTGTTCCCTTCATAAACAGAAATTCAAAAAATATGAAATTGATGAAATTGCAAAAAATCGTGGGATGACGGTGGTTAGATCACCACCATATCATTGCGAAGTAAACTCGATTGAACTGATATGGGCACAGATAAAGGGAGAAGTTTCAAGAAAAAATAATTCTTTTAAAATGAGTGATGTTAAACAGTTGTTTTTGTAGGCTGTAAATAATGTGAAGCCTGAAAACTGGGAAAAGGCAGTAAATCATACGATTAAAGAAGAAGAGAAAATGTGGAAGTTGGACAATATTACTGATGAAATGATCGAACCACTCACTGTAAATATTGGTTGCGACAGTTCATCTTCTGATTTCGATTCTGATTTGGATTTGTAGGTAAGAAGTAGTTTTTATATTAAAATTATTATTTATGAACGTAACGTTGTTTAAAAGTCAAAGTTTAAACCCTTATACCTACATAACCCGTTTGACACAATGTTCTTAACATACCTTGTGGAAAAATAAAACATTTTAGAAAAAATTGCACTTTTTTACCTTCAGTCGTTTAGAAGT